GCCTAGCCGCAGATTCAGTAAACAAGCATAGGATTAGTCAATGTTATTTATGCCTGGAACAAAGGGCAAAGAATAGGTATGCTTTTATTTGACACAATAAAATTTGAACTAATTCACTTTATCCATTCACTATAATTTCTTAACAAGGAGAATGATGATTTCTTATATATTGAATATCACATTTAAACCCTCATTAGTATCATTAGTTATTTAATAGTCATTAAAATTACATATTTATTTCAATTTCCTATTAGTATAAGCAAATTGAACTTCGTTGTTGTGATTAAAGCATTGCTTTTCTAAAATCTTATTTCGCAGTTCTAAACCACTCTCTGTGGGATCGATATCTAGGACTCCATTAGAGCCTTACATTACATGAGCGATACAAATACTTGCGTTGATAAGTGTGACTTTACAATTATTGAATATTTATTACGTCCATATTTAACTTATACTTTTGAGCATATATAAAGTCACCGGTCAAGGTCAATGGGAAAGTAGGATGGTGAGGTGGAGGAGTTAGCTCGCCGACAGTGCGCACCGGGAACAAAAAAACGTGGAGGAGAGCCCAAAATCCGATGTTCTCCTCGCTGCTTTTCTTCGGCTTAAATGCGACGCCGACGAGGCAAAAAGGTTGGTGAGGAAGAGGTCCGACGAATGGCGGGCTCTCGAAGTATGAGTTGGAGCGGCCGGCAGATCTATGTACAACCAAGAAGAGAAGAAGAAGAAGAAGAAGAAAAGGAAGAGGGAGAGGCGGCCAGACGCCGGCGGCTGGGGGGTGCCGGGGGGCCAGCGGTTTCGCTGTCCTAGAGGGAGGCGGTGCGAGGGAGACAGTGTATCGTGGGTCTAGCTAGAGAGGAGGCTCCAGCAAAGAGGACGTCGTCGACGAGAAGGAAGACCAACAGCTTGCTTTGGCGGCGAGCACCCTGGGTTCGCGAAGGGGGCGCTGACAGCTCGCGATAGGGTTTACAAAAATGGGGGCCATAGGCAGAAGATTCAAAATGGGGGTCAGACACAAAATTTCAGGATGAATCAGACCTATTGATTACTGAAGATTCAAAATTTGTTCATAAGAGATTTGAGATTATAGGCACGATAAAAACTAGTGAACTTCTTATTCCTTTTATTGAGGAACCCCTGAACTTGAGATGAAGGTACTTCTCACACATTTTAATTATGCTTACTAAGAAAATTCATCTACATTATCAGTTATCATATCTTCAGATTTGACTCATTTACAAGAGGATAAATTAATAAATATTCTGAGAAGTTATAAAAAGCTTTCGGATGAACCATAACAGATATAAAGGGGACTAGTCCCTCTATTTATATGCATATAATTCTAATGGAAGATGATCATAAACTTCGGGCAAATCCTCAAAGGAGATTAAATTTAATAATAAAAAAAATTTGTGAAAAAGGAAATATTGAAATGACTCGATGCATGTATTATTTATCCTATATCAGATAGTGCTTTAGTTAGCCCTATTCACTATGTTCCTAAGAAATGAGGAGTGACAATAACTATAAATGAACAGAATGAATTAATTCCAACTAAACCTATCACTCTGTGGCAAGTACGTATAAACTATAGAAAATTAAATTCTACAACTGGGAAAACTCACTTTCCTTTACCCTTTTTGGATCAGATGTTGGTTGGGCTAGCTAACCATCCATATTTTTGCTTTCTAGATAGATATTCTGGGTTTCACCAATTATCTATAGCTCCTAAGGATCAAAAAACAACTTCACAAGTCCTTATGAGACTTTTGCTTTTCGAAAATGTCTTTTGAGTTGTGTAACGCACCTACTATATTTTTAATGGTGTATGCTGTCTATATTTTGTGACCTGATTGAGAAAGAATTTGAAGTATTAATGGATGACTTTTCAGTGTTTGAACATGTCTATATTTTGTGACCTGATTGAGAAAGAAATTGAAGTATTAATGGATGACTTTTCAGTGTTTGAACTATCATTTGATTCTTGTTTAGAACATTTAGCGAAGGTGTTGAAAGGCTGCAAAGAAACCAACTTAGTTCTCATTTAGGAGAAGGGTCAATTTATGGTTTTGGGAGGAATCATATTATGACATAAAATATCAGCAAAATGCACCCAACAAAGATTCAAGTGATTGAAAAACTACCTCCTTCTAATATTGTGAAGGGAGTTAGAAGTTTTTTGGGACATGTTTGATTCTATAGACGATATATAAATGATTTTTCTAAAATTGCCAAACCTCCATGACGACTCTTAGAAAAGGACGTCGTATTTAATTTCGACCATGAATGCCTAAATGTCTTTAATATGCTTAAAAAAAATTAGTCACAGCTCATATTATTACTTCACCTGTACGATTGCTAGTGTATGATAGAGCTCATTACATTCATGCCATAGAATTCAAATCAAGAATCAATTTTTATAAAAAAAAGTATTATTTTTAGACTTTCTTAAATAAGTTGTGAATACAAAACAGATATCTTTTTCGAAAACAAGTTTTGCTGATAAAAAAAAACGCCGTGCCAGATTGTGTACTCACGAGGCTTAGCAAGTCAAATTTCCCGTTTCAAAATTTGCTCTCCCAGATTTTCTATGGTGTTCCCGAATCTTGCTCCCATTTGGGCTCTTGTTCTTCGTTGAGATAGGTTTACTTTTTCCATCTGGTACCTAGTTGTCGTTGCTGTGGTTTTAACGGAATTCTGCCGTTCTTGTAAGTGCGTTCCTTCTCGGCTCTTATAGCTCTTCCCATTTTCATTCAATTTGTTACCGTACCTATTGCGTTTCATTAAGTTCCGTTCAGTTTGGATGATGATGAAGCCATTGAAATAAAAATCATACAATTTATTCATCTTTAGAGAGTCTACAGGCATTTATTTAAGATTTTCGAGGTTCTTTTTGCGCTTTTTCTCTTGATTTCTATTATCCCTCCATAAACCGAAAATCATACAAAATATTCATCTTTAGAGAGTATACAGGCATTGATTTGAGATTTTCGGGTTCTTTTTTGTTCTTTTTCTCTTGATTTCTATTATCCCTCCATAAACCTTGTTTTGGGTTCGATCGGCTCGAAATTTCTATCCGGGATTTTATATTTTGTGTTGCCTTGAAAATATCACTTGTCCAATAAATTACGGTTTTTGCAGGAATCTTCAGAGGTGCGGGAAATCCTCTTTGATTTTAGCTTTTCATTCAAAGGCCATGTTCTAGGATTAAAAAAAAAGCAACCCTTTTTTGTTTTTATCCTTGATGTAAGAGTTATGATGAACTCTGCCGTTATTCCCTTTTTCTTATTCCTTTTTTATACTGTTTAGGTTCAATTTTTGCGGCAGGCAAAGTGTGGTGTTGAAAATCTGTGTTCATATTGAAGGGACATTTGATGATGAGGGGAACTGCTCGAGTTCTTCGTCAAGCTTTGTATCGTTTTGGGATTGGAGGGGATCTTCTTTATTGTCTAGATGGATGTCAAAAGGTTTCAACTTTGAGAGGAGCAGCTGCTTATTTTCAATTTAAACCCATAATTGATAACGGGATCAATAGGTATCTTCGTCAGACTGGAAGATCTCTGTCTACCTTCGTAGTCAGTGATTCTGCTGGAGGTTTGCAGCTGAATCTGTTATAGATTTTTTTACTAATTAGGAATTTGATTTCATTAATAATTGTTTGCAACCCTTTTCATGGAAAATTTTGTCTCATTGAACTCTAAATGCTGCAGAACTCTTTTTGTAGTTTAATGGCTCTCTTCTGCCATGCTAAACCTGCTATTTTTTCTGATAATGCCAAGTTAATTGTTCATTCTAGATTGGTGCCTAACTTAGTTTTCAATCTGTTAGTTTGAAATGCATCCCTTTTGTTTTAATGACGTTAATGCTAACTACAGCGTCAGCAGATGTGGGAAAATCTGGTCCTTTGGTCGAGTATGAAAGGAGAATAACCTCAGGGGAACTAGTTGATGGGGATGCCTTTCAAGTTGGTGTCTATAAATTTTTTTTATATATGAAGTTCTTATTATTGACAAATTTCCCGTTTTTTTTTTCTTAGGCGGTGTTTGGTGCACTATTTACTGGCGGATTTACGTATGAATTTAATGTAAATCCGCCAAACATGAATTCAATGCAATTAAATCTTGCCTTCAGCTAAATCCAAAAATTTCTGTGGCGTGACGTTAATACCGGATTTATTAAATCCGAATTGGAGGTGGATTGAAGAAAATGACTTCCTTTATTTGTTAAATCTTAAAAACAAATGCTAAACATTTGGTTTTGACTTAACTGGGTTTAACCTAAGTAATATCAAACACAAATTTGGAATTAACATCACCCGATTTACTAAATTTGGATTTACTAGATTTAGTAAATCCTACTTAAATTAAATCCAAGAGGCAGCCAAACACCCCCTTAGACCTCTGATAGTTTATGCCTTAAGGTTCTTTTTGGTAAGCATTTTTGCAATATATATTTTTATTAGGTTGATACACTTAGGGTACTTCAAAGGCTCTATGACCAGCTTGTTGAACATGAAGATAGCTGCCATTTGGATAGATATAAAGCATCTCAAAAAGCTGGAAGGTAACTGATTAATTGTCTTTAGAAAAAATATTTATTTGAAGAGGGCAATAGTTTCATAATGAGATTTCATCGATTTATGATTTTCAGTAACTTTGGTTTTCTTAGAATTTTTTTTCACTTTTTTTATAGCATCGTTTTGCAGAAGTCGTTGGCTATGGTCACGTCTTGTCCCACAATCTTCTTATTCACCAGTTAAAGGACTATACCTTTATGGAGGAGTAGGAACAGGAAAAACGATGCTAATGGATTTGTTTTATGATCAATTGTAAGTTTCAAGATAAGGTTAACTTTTGTGCAAAATACTTGTTTGCTACATACTTTAACCTTGTTAAATCAAAGTTCTTATGCTTCATCAAATGTGAGATATTAAGCACTGTATTTTCAACTTTATGCTTTTTATTTAAGGTGACTTAGAAATTGCTTAGAGTGAATTGGTAAAATTAAGTTTTAACATCTTGGGTAGGATTTAGTAGAAAAGAATAGAAAATTACAATTCTTAAAGCTAGACCCAAATACCTTAGATAAAGCTTATAATGATGATGATGATTATATTCCATCATCTTAACTTGTTTCCTGTTTAACCCTATTTAGATGGAAAAAAATACATTTTGTTCGTTGAACTCCTAAAAAAATGTGTTATTTAAAGTTTAGCTACACGCACATCATCAGAAAATTATTTTATTGTTACTTAATGGGCATGAATGGGTGTAAATGAGGTGAGTTGAGCTTGAATTAGGTTGATTTGTTTGCTGAATGGTACTTGACGAGTTGAGCTTGAGGGTCTGTTTGGGGCAGCTGCAGCTTATCCAGAACTCGAGATTGAACTCAAATGTCGAGCTTGAGCCTCCATTGCTGAGAAAATAACATGCTAGAGTTAGACTCATGACCTCGAGCTAAAATCAGTATGGGAATTTGTTTGAGAAGGATGGGAGCTTACTAAAGAAGTCAACAACGAGATGAATGGCATTAGAGAAGGAAGTGACAGGTGCTCATTGAAGCGGGCAATAACGGTAAGAGCTGCACAAGGAAAAGGCTATGATGGGAGTTCGGTGGAGAAGGCAATGTTGGAACAAGCTGGAGAACATAGTGTTTGGACAAGCGGCGGGAGCTCGGTGGAGTAGGTAACAACAGGAACTTGCTTGAGAATGCAGTGATGGGACTTTCAATTGAAGCTTGGTAGGGAAGGCAACGATGGGAGCTCACTATCAGTGATTGGACCCATGAAGTTTTAAGAAATGAGTGTGTGTGCAATGAGCCGTAATTCGAATGACGCAAATTAATAAACCTGCTGGTGAGCCAATGAGCCGAGCTAGGCCGAGCTCGAGATCTTATATTATATGAGCTATATAGTTTGAGCTCGAGCTCAAACCTATGTCTTGATGATCTCGACTTACGAGCTCTTTAATTAATGGAGTTTGTGTTGAATTGTGAGTCCTTGGACGCTTACCTCTCTAGACCTTATATTTCTCTGTGTTTGTTACGAAACATCATTTTATACTAAAGAAAACCTAAATTATAACTCCCTTTTTTTTTTTTGCAATGCTTCTGTCTTGTTATCATTTTGTTTTTCCTCGCATTGTGTTTTTGTAGACCATCTAATTGGAGGAAACGGAGAAGACACTTTCATGATTTTATGTTGGATGTTCACAAGCGCCTCCAGGTATGTTTTTCTGCTCAAAGGTTGGAGATATTTTTATGTCTTTTATGGGTTAAATTAGATGTATATGTATTTTTCCTTTTTGCATTTTGTCTTCGGCATTGCTTCTTTGAATAACATATCTTTCTTTATTTTCTCATAAATTCTATTGTGAGGTGGCAAGTTTTTATAAATTCTTTTTTGAAGTATGTTGCTTATAAATTATTCAAGATGCATAAAGGGGTAGCAGATCCACTTGAAGTTGTTGCAGGAGAGGTAGCAGATGATTCCGTTTTATTATGTTTAGATGAATTCATGGTACGTTGAATCGTGGTATGTTCTAAGTTCCAGTCATTTTTTCAGTCATATCTCTGCTTCCACTGATAAGTTTTGATTCTAAAAAATGCATGAACTGCAGGTCACAGATGTTGCGGATGCGTTAATATTAAATCGACTATTTAAGCATCTTTTTAGCAAAGGCATTGTATGCTTTTTACCATCAATATTTTGAATTGATTAACATTGTTAGTGATTGTCTTCTAGCTTCATTAAATCTTCTTTCTTTTCTTATGTTTGATATATGTTGGTTTCAAAGGTTCTTCTCTCCACATCCAATCGTCCTCCTGATAACCTTTATGAAGGTGGTTTACAGAGAGATCTTTTCTTACCTTTCATTGGTACCCTCAAGGTAATATTATTTTGTGGCTTTTAATATTTTTTCTAAGTTTTGATTTTCTATTTTATATTTGATTTTAGTAGCATATTTACTGGTACTTTTATTGGAACTGTGCAGGAAAGATGTACAGTTCATGACATCGGTTCTTTAACTGACTATAGGAAGTTAACATCAGTAACTATCTTCATTTTTCTTAGGAAACTAATATGTATTAAAATTCTTCTCAGGGAACATTCATTTTATCAATTATTATTGTTTCATGCTACAGGCTGAGCAAGGTTACTATTTTATTGGGTATAACACTTCAGGCCTTAAGAAAAAATTTTTGAATCTGATTGGAAAGGAGACTCCTCACCCACAAGTTGTGGAAGTTGTTATGGGAAGACACTTGCAGGTTGTGATGTACCAACTTCTGCATATAAATTTTAATGGTGACGTTTTTTTTTCTGTTCTATGTTCCTGAAGACGAGCTTGAATTGAGTCTCCTTTCTCATGCAGGTTCCAATTGGAGCAAATGGTTGTGCTTATTTCTCTTTCGTTGATCTATGTGATAAACCATTGGGAGCCGCTGACTATTTAGGACTGTTTGGTAAGCTTTTTTTTTTTGCTGAATCCTTAGCCGTTTCCCTATCTTTTTGGCGTTATAATAAAGTGTTGCTCCTCCTTATTACTTTGGCCAGAGAAGTTTCATACATTGGCATTAGAAGGTGTGCCAAAATTTTCAATCAATAACCGGTCAGCAGCTTATCGGTTTGTCACATTGGTTGATGTATGCTACTAGCTTCCTGATTGTGTTGATTATTTCAATTTATTTTTGGAAGATTTACATAAATAACATTCAATTCCTATGTATTTACATATCTAGCACCTAAACTTAAACTTTTACACACATACCAGTTTACCTATGCATGAATAAGTGTATTTCACTTTTTAAAGGTTGAAATGGTGGTTTTTTCTTATGTTATATGAAAGATTTGGGTGGTATGAATGTAAAATTTGAAGTCTAGTTGCTAGATATGTAAATACATAGGAATTGGGTGGTATGTATGTAAATGCCCCTTTATTTTTTTATTCTTTAATGGCATCTACTTTTTTATCACAGTACCATTTGTTCTCATTAGCATTTTGTGACATCATTGTGGTAAATCATTGTTTGTATGGAACATGTGCAATGACATAATGCTGAATGCATGGTTGCATTATTTCGTGAAACTAGAAAACTATAGGGATATGTTGATTTTATATGGATTTTTTACATGATCTTATAATGTAAAATCTTAAATGTGGCGAGCATAATTTTAAGTGAGATTATAAACTCATCACAAATACTATACCTTTAAAACCTGTACTGAATTTTTAATTTTGGTGATTTCTGTATCTTAGGGTTTAGGGTTGCCGAGATGAGAATGCTTAGGTGGATGAGTGGCTTTACACTTAGAGACAAAATGTGAAATAAATATATTCGTGAGTTGGTGGGTTGGTGTAGCTCTAGTGGCGGACAAAATTAGAGGGAGTCGTCTTTGATGGTTTGGTTGCATTAAATGTCGACCTTATCCGATTAGGAGAGTAGATATTTTAAATTTCACAGTCTTTGATGGTTTGGTTGCATTAAATGTCGACCATCTGATTATCCGATTAGGAGAGTAGATATTTTAAATTTCACTTATGTTAAGAAAGGAAGAGGTAGAACTAGAAAGACTTGGGCATACTGTATAAAAAATGATTTTAATTTATTAGAATTAAATGAAAATATGACACTCAATTGGATGCAATGGAGAAAAATGATTCATGTAGCCGACATGATTCATGTAGCGATTCATGTAGCCGACACCACTTAGTGGGATAAAGGTTTATTGTTGTTGTTGGTGATTTCTGCATCTATTTGTGCCTTTATCACTTAGTTTGTCGATAATCTAACACCTAAGTAATGAAAAATATTATGGCAATGATTTATTCAGTTTTATACTTTGGGTTTCGAATTATTTTTAACTCACCTGCCCGGCCGACCCCAACCCCACCCACCCCCCTTCGAACACACACACACACACACACACACACACACACACAAAGCTTTTGTCACCAACGGAATCACTTCAAATTGACAAAAGACAACCCTTGAGGTCTTTTACAAAATTTATCCCATGCTATAAAATCTTTTGGCCCTTGCCCCTCTTATTTTTATTTTGCTATACAGTGCTACCAATTATTATCACATTCACCATCATCAGCCTCAACCTAACTATTTGGAGGCATTTTTATGAATCTACCTTCCATAATTCATATTGAGTGTTCTGAGGATGTGGACTTTTCTCTACCATTTTTTTTTATTCCTCTCTCAATAATTCCATCAGCCGTCCATCCTTCTGGTGTGTATTTTATTTTCCGTCATGCTTGTCCATTCTGTAACAAAGAATAGGAGTGTTAGTTCAAAGCATTTGAAAGGTTTTGCAAACTTTCACGCTGGAGAAGAATAAGAAAATTACTTATAAGTGCACTTATTTGTCTATCCTAAGCGTTTTTTCGTTGCTAGCACAGATTATGTTACACGTTCATTACTGCCTAATACCAATTTCTCAAAATTTGGTTGAAACTCATTTTTTTTAGTAATATTAATATATTTATGCTAGGTTTATAATTCTTTAGGGCGAATTAAAGTATTTATCACTTGTTATACACATTATGTGTTGAAATGAACTTTGTGAGGAGCTTTCAGCCTGGATACTTTCTTATAACCGGATGCTCTTGCTGAAATTTACAAGTTTTCATTAAAGATGAAAAAATTTTGGTAAATCTGTTTTATCTAAATTGGTAGTCTTTTCCTGGGCAGGTTGGGGATAACTTTAACATGTAAATAAATTAATTTGCAAGTGTAAGTTTGTAAGAATTGAAATCAGTAATAAAAACATAAGAAGTGATCTGATCTAAGATCAAAATGTAAAGTACTAAAATGAAAGAAATAGTTGCCTTTCATATATTGTGATATTGTTACAGAAAGGATTGTTTACTGGTGAAGGTTCATGAAATTTAATCAATGTCCTACTTATTTGGAAGAAAGATCAATGAGCAGTGTAGAGGAGAGAGGAACAGCAAGGTGGAATAAGGACCATCATCACCATCATTTGACTTAGCCCAATTATTTGGAATTGGCTTTATGAATCTACCTTTTGTGATTGCTATTGGTCTATAAGAGGTGTGAACTCTATTTTGTACTATATTTTTAACAAAGTTTAGCCGTTTAAGCTTTTCTCTAGCCTTTTTATTGTTACTCCTTCCACATTAATTCTACAAACTGTCCATTTGATGCGTCTTATATCTCCCATTGTACTTACCCTAATTGAAATAACACTGATAAGGATACTAGTTTAGATATTATGAAATGTTTGCAAACTAACTAACTTCCATTATGGAGAAATGATAATGCAAGTGGCAAACTAACTTCCATTATGGAGAAATGATAATGCAAGTACATAGTGTATTTATTTGGCGAGTTTAACTTTGTTGGCTGTTTTACGTTTTCATTATTACCAATTTCTTAAAATTTGAATCAAACAGTCTCTTTGGTAATTTCAATGTATTTGTGCTAGGATTGTGGAGATGAATGGATGTGTTTATCACTTTCTACCCACATTGTATTTTGATGCTAACTTGTTGGGGAAAATATTTCATATTGAGTATTTGCTTATCTGGGTACCATATATAGAATATACGAGTTCTTATTTAGGATTATAACATTTGGTAAATCGATGTTTTCTAAACAGATAGCCTTTTCCTCAGAATTTTAGGGATAACATATTAATAAATTTGGTTGCAATTACCAGTTTATACAAATTGGAGTTTGTGATACATAGAAATTGTTTGATTTAAATGTACATGCAAAGTTTACCATTTATCAAATCAAAGAAATTAGTGCATTTAATTTTTAATAATAGTTTGGTATAAAGGATTATTTACTCATGAAGATACATAAATTTAATCAATATCCTAAACACTTTTTTGGGACTTAGGAATCATCCCTTCCATCCATTTCTTTTTACTGTTAGCAAGCTATTTGTTTAAGCTTTTTAAAATTTTCTTTATTATTTGCTCTCTTTCTGTTAAAGCTTGTATTTTTATTTTTCCACAAACTGAATTATTCATTTTCATAAAAAGGCCTTCCTTTTGAGTTTCTTTCCACAAACTGAATCATTCATTTTCATAAAAAGGCCTTCCTTTTGAGTTTCTTCTCTATAGAAATTTTCCCATGGTACGAAATGATTTGAATCTCACCCATATGATTTTTATCTTTCTCTACATTACAACCATCTTTATCTAACAAAAAAATTTGTCCACATAAACATTTGCTAACCCTGTTTTGTTTTCTCCTTTCACTTTAGTTCTATCAACTGTCAATTATATTGGCATCTTTTACCAGGCATTGTACTCTAACCCTGTGGGCTCCGAAAATTTATGCCCTGGTTTCCCTTGAAATTATGAGAGTTTTCACGTTGAGTTTCGAGTGAAATTTTTAGAAGGTAAATTAGATTGAGATACTGCACTACCTAGAGATTTCGATTTCATTTTGCAATGACATTAGATATGCGGTTTGAGGCTTTTCATAAGAGCAAGCTTTTTTGGTTAATTACTTTTCTTGATAATAGAACATTTTTCAATTATGACTAGTCATTAGGATTTGGATTGCTTATTAGTAATAGCAATTTGAGTTTTAAGTTGTAAAAAAAATTGTCATTGAGTTTAAGAGCGAATAATAGGGGGAAGATGACAAACCCGATAAAGATGGCATAGTTCTTTCACTTCAAGTTGTCATGATTTCTAATCTGTCTAGTTAAGGAGTTAGCAGACCCAACCTAAAAGAACGATCCTTATCAGCAGTCATTGGCTACTTCATCCAAAGGGATCTTATCGACTTTGGGTGCATGTTCGTCTAAAGAGGCAAATTCAAGTCGACCTTAGCTACTAGAAAACTTTATGCCCTATCATGTATTACTTATAATTCACTGCTTAAATAAGCAAAATTATTTTGAACTACTTGCTAAAGTGTGATCATAATATAGCTGGGCCAGCTCGCCAAACCACGTGCTCTGAAGGCTCTTGCTATTACTGTTGTATTTATGGACCCGTCTAGTTGAACCTCATTTACAAAGGACTCGAGCTACGTCCATACTAATATAAGATTATTTTGAAAATAAATAATAATATACTTGATATTTGCTTATTGTGAATTAAGGTTATTTTTAATTGTCACCCTCATTAAACTATTATGGAAGATGAATGAGATTTATTTTTAGATCATAAATGATATATTTTACTTGAATTTTTTGAGTTTTATATTTCAAAATTTTGATTTTATAAATAGATCTCTCCAACTCATATTTTCGTTCAACACGAACATCATCGCGGGGTTTCAATTTATTGGACTTATTACTTGAGAGCTTGATTTTATAAGTAGACTTATTCGGTTGAGATTTACTTTTAGCACGAACATCATCGGAGAGTTTAACTGTTTAGATTATTTGAGTTTGTGATTAGATTTCTTAATGCACCAATCTTGTCAAATCATGTTTTTTTTAGGAGGATTGGACTGATTTGTTGAATGTTTAGTTTTGTCAACTCTGATCCCTATCAGGAGGAGAATCAAACTAGCTAATTGAAAGCCCAATCTTATCTACTCTAAGCCTTAGGAGGAGTATTGGACTAACTTAGCAAAGGCTTAGTCTTGTGAACTCTAGTTTTCAAGTGAGATTTATGACTTTATCCTATCGACGGGGATTG